GTTCTCTAACTAACTGGTAGAGATCAAGTCGACAGTTAAGCCGGCAGATTTAATTGGGTCAAACCACCACTTCAACGCACAGCGAAGACACGCAGTGACGTCAGAGGTTATTTTAGCAGACACAAAACAACCCAGTGTCAGCTAGGGTCAGACCTTGGAGGTATACATACACATATGTGGGGGAATGATAGTCTGGGTGACTACAAGTACAGATGTGGGCGTGGAGAGTTGATGTTCTATGTTTGATAGAGCCTATATGTCTCCACAGTGGTACTCGTCTCCTGTCCCTGTTACTGACTGACTGACAGAGATGATACATAGAGACTTCTGCTGTTTCATTATCCTAGAGCTGTCCTCTGAGTGGTTGCCAGGGATGGAGGGTAAATAAATGAGCTAAGCATGTGACCTCTGAGATGATTACTAATTCTGAGTTCCTTCTTGATACAGGATGATATCTCATTGGAGGCCAGGCAGGCAATCAGCAGTCCTGAAAAGCACCAACCACCAAATTGCCAAACCATCACCATGGCAGACAGCAATGTGGGAGCCAGAGTGTAGGCTTACAGGCCGCCCATTTGCCATTTATACCAGAGTACCTTCTTTAGGAGCTTGTTGGGCTCCAGGGGCTGAAAAGCAGTTGTTCCAGGCCGTCAGGACCAACCTAGGTCCAGTGTACCCTCTGAACCTTTTTGGCTCCAGCGATTGAACTCTGCATGTGACTGTGTTTGCCAGATCAACAATTGAATTGAACAGTCCCAAGTGTCAGCCTGTTCCAGTATTATGAACTGATGAAGGCAGTGACTCCAACCTGGACTAGATAAGTAGCTACACTCTATGGTGATGCCTTGTTCTATATATACAGGTCCACTCCGAGTCACCATGATGAAATCAAGCTGACTCTACGAGAGTCGTCAATGTCTGTCAATGGTATTCCAGGTTTGATCTTTCCATTTTCCAAAGTTCTTCAAAATCTTGGCTTGAGTCGAAAATCATGTTGATGTTGAACTTATTACATGTCTTTGGAAGTTTTCATTATGGACTTGAGTGTCATCGATTCACTGTTCCTAGCTGTCTAAAGTACATGTATGTTAATTAATAATCTTTATCTGTGTTAACATGGCTGTGGTATTATAGTAGTGGGGGCGTCCAGTCAAGCTGCGCCTAGGAATACTGTATATTCTGTAGTGCCATAACTTGAGTTGCCCTAGTCCTGAAATAGGTTGGGTGTATATAGGCCACAGGACATCCTTTAGACCAATACGAGCCGACACCTCAACATTATTCTATTTCAGAGTGCTGTTGGTTCTTAAGGAGAAATCCTTAAATCAGGCACACAACACGATCGGTATGTGACAGTTTTGACCTGTCGTATTCTGTTCTTTATCTCTGTGATACATCTTCTATCAGATGTTATCCATGTGCCTAGATACTTAAATATGTGTACATGTCCCACAATAGTGCCAGTGACTTTTGTTATGCATTTAGGCACAGTTCCTTTCTTGGAAATCACCAGTACTTCTGTCTTCCCATTATTTAAACTGAGGCCCATTTGATCATTTTTCTGCTACCACCGTATCTATAAATGAAAGCACATAGCACTGGAGAATTGCCCAAGAGAAGAAAGATTTTTAGACGTACCGTGACGTCGGCGACGCTCTGTAAAGAACCAGCTGACTGAAAGTGCAGATTCACTTATAGGGACTGTTTAACCAAGCTCATAAAATGTTTTCTCTAACTTGATTTTAGCGTTTTTTTCCTCCTAATGAATTTAAGAAGAAATGGCAACAATGCACTCGGGACATTCCCACACGTGCTCCCTCCCCGTCTTCATTAACCAACGAAGATTTGACATACCAATAGCACTAGCGGCAATCTCGTTAAAATTCCACATCTGTTTCCCCTTCAATGTTAAATATCTTCCATAAAGAATCTTTACACCCTCCACCCCTCCCCTTTTCGGGTTAAATCATCTGTGTTTCGCTAGCATGTGTGATTGTTTTCAGCGTGAGTCCCACACTGATGATTCTGTCATGCACTCAGAGCTGACCTCTATAAAGCCCGACCGGAACAAATAATCAACTAAAAGAATAAAATATTTACATATTCTATGTAGGTAATATTTGTAGTAGCTTTTTTGTTGTATTTATTATCCAAGGATCTGATCCATAATGCAGTAGGTATGCAAAAATGTTTCTCACTTTGAACTTCGTGTTGATTGTAATTAATTAGGTCTTAACAGATTTTTACAGACAGGTGACTCGAATTCCATTTAAGCTGTTTTTTCAAGCAATTCTATATTTATTCAAAAGACATGCAAACGTATAGTACAGCACAAGTTGTAAGCAAACTAAGCTTAGGTTGGCTAAAAAATACAGACATCTGCGCGGATTTGTATCTAACTGGTATCACAGCGTAGATAAAAAATATTGTGCCCTCTCCGGAATGAAGGCTGGTTACAGTAAACCCAATGCTGTCTTTAAACAGGTTACACAATGATGTCTCTAAATTCTCTACACCCCCTCCCCCTTTCCCTCAATTCCTCCTCTGTTTAAATTATCTGTGTTTCGCTGGAATGTGTGATTATTCTCAGATTATTCTGAGTCCCACACTGATGATTCTGTTATGCACTCAGAGCTGACCGTTGTAAAGCCCGACCGAAGAAGATAAGCGAATGAAAGAATAAATATTTACAGATACTATGTAGTTAATATTTGTAGTAACTTTTTTGTTTTATTCATCATTATCCAAGGATCGGATCCATAATGCAGTAGGTATGCAAACGTGTTTCTCACTTTAAACTTTGTGTTGATTGTAATTAATCAGATCCTAGCAGATTTTACAGATACGTGACTCGAATTCCACTAAAGCTGTTTTTTAAACAATTCTAAATTTATTTGAAAGGTGTGCAAACATATAGTACAGCATAAGATATAGGCAAACTAAGCTTAGGTTGGCTAAAAAATAAAGACATCTGCGCGGATTTGTATCTCACTGGTATCACAGCGTAGATAAACCCACTGCTGTCTTTAAACGGGTTACACAATGATGCCTCTAAATTCTTCTCCGCACCTCTGTCAATTTACTGGTGCGGATTCTCACAAATAAACTGTCCGCAGCGAGAATCGAACCTGGTGCTCGAGGATGATGACATTGTTCAACTCATCAACTAATCTCTAAGCCACAATCACATGGTAGAAGACTTTTCTAATGTTTTGTCTTTGGACTCCCTTGTACTTTTGGAAATATTTGTAATTGGACTACAGTTTTCTTGCTGCAGAATTTGAAAGAAAAGCTTGGTCACACGTTTTGTGCAGACGAATGAAAGAAACAGGAATACACCCTGAAGCCCGTTGAGAATAATGGCGATGAATCTTAGAGGATTATTGTCAGTGTATTCAGAAACGATAGCAATGGTCCAAAAGGCTCCAGTCAGAGACGATAACTTGATGTAAATGATGAAAGTTTGACTCTCATTCTGGTTAAAGTCTGCGTGAGCTTGCAATTTCTTTACTTTTTGTATTTGCTGAACAGTAGAAGCAAAGAAGTATATGTTGGCAAGTGTCACCGCCCCAAGAGGCGTTACCAGGGATACTATGGCTAACAAACTGGAGTCTAGGTAACAAGGATAGGTGTCTGTGTACCCGATTCTCTGTCCTTCAGATGTGAAGTACGTAATAATGACAACTAGCACCACTATCAGAGCTGGCACAATGACGCCAATGATGGCTTTCTTTATGCGCCTGTTTCTCTGAGAAGTACTCGTGCAATTGGAGATTCCTGTCTTGGTGGTAAAAACCCGAAACATGTGGAAGCAACAGATGAAGCTCCACGTGATCATACTGAGCCACAAGAAATGCGTACTGATTCCTAAGATAATGCAAAGTGAATTCGAACCTTCAACATGGGAACTTGCCAACAGGGAAGCTTGAGCAAGAAACAGAGTTCCGGACAGAAACATGTTATTAATTCCTGCTTCATTGCGTAAGGATACACAAAGCAAATACACAACCAGTGTCATAAGCAGAGTTAACAGTGACAGTCCTATACAGATATGAGTCAGATAGTAAAGCCATAGCTCGATCTCGCTTTTATGAGAATTATATGAGTTGTCCTTCAGTTTTAGGATTGTCTCTTCCAGCAGATCCTGGCACACAAAGATATTGCCTCCACTGTTTCCATTATAGTCTTCTACAGCCAGTCTGTTTGTGTCCGACAAGTCAGAAAAAGTTAGTTCTATTTCACCCAACTTTAATTTGATTTGCCAGGTTGGAGGGAAAACACTACAATTAACAGAAATGTTAAAATAGGATTTGTTAAATGAAACATGCACGCAGGTGAGAACTAGTGAAGAAAATATAAACTCCTTTTTGTAATTCCACAGACTGTTATTCAACATTGTTGGGAAAATCGGAAATGTATTTGCCGCCGTCTGCATGTCCGATTTCTCTTCAGTAAAAAGACACGAATTTCCTGATAAATCGCGCAGCTGCGGTAAAAGCTTTGGTTGCATTAGAACTGTAAGATTTTCTGTAATCTGTAATTCAGACGCATTCATGAGAAAGGTCATAAGAAATGCTGTCTCAAAAAAATCTCTAGAAAGTGACTTATTTGCAATAATATACGTGTCGATGTAAAAGAAGATTCGCGAATAATCAGTGGACAATTGTGGTGTTACATTACGGATTTTAATGTTAAAGACTGTATCAGAGGTTATAAGTGAACGTCCAGTGTTTGTGTACAGTGAGATAATTTTCCCCCCCAAAAATATACCGTGATTTCGGTCTCTGAGATATCAGGGCTGAAGATCTGTTGTTCCCGCAAATATGTCATGAACGAATTCAACATCTCAGTGGAGTTTATCTGACTTAGGTTGATATATTTAATGTCTTTTGGCAGATATACAACTCTTGCTCTATACCCAAGACCATTGATATCTTGTATAGCTGTTGTACAGTTTCCACCCTCAAGATATTTTCCACGCGTGCATTGCAAGGGGAGACATGTACCGTCTGGACTAGACCACTCAGTGACATGACAGTCTTTAAACTTTATTCCAGAATGTGACAGTGGTTTATGTTTGCCGTGAAGAGAGCCAAGCAATAATGAGAATGGAAGAACTTTTCTTCTTTCCAGATTCCCATGCACACAATCAGGAGTCAATGCATCATAGCAACAACCTCGAAATTCATGCTGAAGGTTGCAAAGATAATCGTCAAGGAAATTAGAATCAGAATTACAAATGGCACAGAAAATGTTTTTGTAGTAGCGGAAAGTAGTTTTTTCATGACAGACACGCACGCTCTGGGAGATGTCCGACATGTTCTCGCATTGAGCAGCGATGTCTGGGTCAGCTGTTGACCAGAGCCCTGTCTCATTGCAGGATTCCAGGACCTCGCCGTGCCACTGGCTGTCGCACTTGTGGGGAACTAGCTCTGCTGGAAATTGCTGACGGATGGTGCATAAGGAGTCCTGGCGAAAGCTGAGTTGGATGAGCTCGTCTTTAGTTGTGGCGCTGTACACACGAAGGTAGTTCTCACATTTGACCGACATCCTCCAAGCTGTGGGCTAACAATGTTCACAATTAATGAATGTACAGGCCTAACAGTCTTTGAAATAATTGTATAATAAATTTTTCTTAGGTGGCTAACAACGTTGTAAATTAATGTATAGCAGTAAAGTAAAGTAAAGATCCCTTGTCGCGCCTTTAGGCGCTTCAGGTATATGCGAAGAGCGCCCATATTTTTTCAGACCATCGGCACTAGGTGGGCAATTGGTAAGCGATACGACGCTATTCTTTTCTTCTTCAGGACAGCCATCCTTGTATTCATTTTATGCTGGGTCGACCTGCGACGCCCCATACCACGATACAAATCCACGCAGCCAGCAGTGGGTTTTGATCGCGGTACGTTAGAATTACGAGTCGTACTCGCAACGCATAAGCCACGGACGCCGCAATGTATAGCAGCTGTTTCCTAAAACAAAGTTTTACACCAATACAGGTAGACCCTAGCTGAACATGTCACTCGTCAGATCCAAACAGTATTCATTGTGAAGACTAAAGACTACAGACAAAATAAATATGAAACATTAAAAAAAAAAAAAAAAATTTTAAACAAATTTCGAAAAGAAAAGAAAAAGTGGAAAAAAAGGGAATACAATATATGAGCAACAGATTGTCGAATCTTTTGACAAACATAGTTTGCAGTAGCTAAAGTTTAAAAAAAAAACACTTTTGGTCACTCTCAGAACCCTGTGAGTACATTCATGTGGCGGAGTAGATAACACAAAAAGTATACCGTGTTCATGGTACACCCCACAGTTGACACAAAGGTCAGTGGCGTGACTGGCCAAGAATGTGCTGTTTGCGACGGCGAAACTAGCGCTCAGTAGAGACCACTTGAAGACTACAAGTAAGAGTGAACTCTTTTCCGAACGAGTTCGCAGCATAATTGTTCCATAGGAATAAACTCACAGGGAGCAAGTACAGCAGGGATCTACCAGTCGTCAGTAGAAATTATCCTCGTCGACACGCGTTTCGGCCCACGATTCCTAGACGCATTCGGAGGTGGGCCCTCCTGAGTTCATGAAGCTCAGGGCTGGTTCCCTGCTGCACGGAATTACCGGATGGTGTTTTACTTTCGGCCACAGACAAGACGACTTGGTGGTTTGCAGAAGGTACTGTGAGATAAGAAGTCGCCGCGGCAGCCTAATTAAAGCAGTCAGCATGCCTGGACGACCGAGCGACAAGCTTACGTTTGGTTTACCGGAAACATGTTGGACTTTTGTTAGCAGGTGGCAGAGGAACACTGGCAGACAATTCGGACACGATGGACTTTCAAGGGGTGAGAAACCCTTTTCCACTAGACACCCGGACCAGCTCACCGAGGCCCGTCCCCTACGTTGTTGCGTTGCGTCCAAAGCCAGCTAGAGGCCCTTTCGGCTACCTCTCCCAGTTTTTTGAGTGTTCGTTTCCGTTCATTACCGCGCAATCCTAGTTCTTTAACCACATTGTAGAGCGAAGTAGAAACGAGGCCTCTCGCTCCCACTTCGACGGCAAAGACCCGTACTGTGTACGACTCGTTTCTCCTCAGACCGGCTGCTAAATCACTGTATTTCTCGAGTTTGTACAAGTGATTCTCCTCCATGCGCGACTCATATGGGACCGTCAGCTCGATCAGGATGAGCTGACGTTTTTGCGCAGAATGGAGAACTATGTCCGGTCGCAAGCCGGTCTTACGGATCAACTCGGGGTACCGTTCATGGCTTGGCAGATCAACCGCCAGTAACCAGTTCCTCGCAGAGTCTAGCACAGATGGAGCGAATGTGTTTTGGTTGACCTTACCTTTTGGAACCTGCCCAGCCTTGAGGAAACGAATGGGGACGATGCTAGAACTGGCTCTGGCGTTAGCCCTCATTCTAGCCTGGTCAACAACGGCTGCTAACTCTTTTAGCACCTTGTTGTGTCGCCAGGTGTATCGGCCTTGACCTAGGGCTTTCCTGCACGCGGACAGGACGTGTTCTAGAGTCTGCTTCGATTTACACAACGCAGACATTTAACCATGTTAACACCGGACGGTAATACATCGTACGCCGAACAAACGATAAAGCTCAGTCGCAGCGGGGTCATCCGCCAGATCTCACCCCATGTGAGTATTCTTGGCAATGCGCTCTCCAGGCTGACCCAATGGCCCTGCTGCGACTGCTGGGCTGCTTTCTGGACCCGAACCTCGTTTTCGTTGTCCCTCACCGTTTGTATTACCATGTCTCGGCGTTCTTTGGCTGAGGCCTTTGACCACCAATTGACCTTCCCGTGCCCTAGGCCTCGACGGTCGGTTTGAGTGTATCCCATTACCTCCTTCAATTTTAGTGCGTTCTGGGCAGATTCTATCGCATCGAGGACTCTCCACTTCTGGCCAGTCTTTAGAGCGGGCTGGACAGCGATGACATTTGGGTCTGAAGACTCACGCAAGAGCATGGCGAGTCTTACCTTTCCGACTTTAAACTCTTCGGTTATCGATTTGAACGGAAGTACCAGCTTAGCCTGCTTACAATACAGAGCCACGTCGGTCAGACAAGGCGGTGCGCCAATCCACTTTCTCAAGGCTGTGTTGATTTTCTTCTCCATGGTTTCCACTGCAGTCATCGTCACCTCGTAGACTAACAGTGGCCATAGGAGTTTCGGAATCAACATGAATTGGAGACACCATACCTTGAATTTCCCGACCAGCCTGCATCGCTCGATCGCGAGCAGGCCTGTAGCCAGTGACTCGTGTATTCGCCGGACTTCCGCTCTGTCAGATAACTTCGAATCGTAAACGCGACCGAGGCTCTTCACCGGTTCCTCCAGAACCGTGGGGATCTTGTTCCTTGCCACCGTAAAACTGGTTGCCACCACCCGACCCTTATGGATTGACAGACTCCTCGACTTCTCCGGTTTGAACTGCATACCGCTCCATTGGATCACCGCGTCCAATCTTTCCAGGATCGTGCGGGCAGACTCCATGCTGCCCGTTATAATAGTCGTGTCATCCATAAAGGCACGTAATGGTGGCATCCAGTGTTCCCCAATTTGAAGGCCCTGTCCGTAGCCGGCCGCCCCGTCTAACATGATCTTCATTGCCATGACAAACAGTATAGGTGAGATCGTACACCCCATAGCTATCCCAATCTGCAACTCAGTCCACCTCGTGGTAAACGTCGAGGTAGAGAAGCGCAAAGCGAACTTAGAGAAATATTGCTCGATCATATTATTGACCTGTGTCGGTACGTGGAACATGCGAAGGGCTCGCCACAGTAGCCTATGGGGGACTGCCCCGTAGGCGTTGGCTAAGTCCAACCAAATCACGTGCAATTGAGTTATCTCATGCTTGGCTCTCTGGATAGCCTCCCAAATCTTGGTGGCGTGTTCAAGGCACCCAGGAACGCCTGGAATACCACCCTTCTGAACACTCGTATCTATGTTCTTGTTAGTCACCAGATACTGTGTGAGCCGGCGAGCCATGACCGAGAAGAATATCTTACCCTCGACATTCTACAGCGAGATGGGCCTGAATTGGGAAAGACTCTTCGAGTCCTGCTCTTTGGGAATGTAGACCCCATTTGCCTTCCATGACTTACTGAGCGGGTTAACGTGTCAAAAGGCACGAGGTGAAAGAACACAGGGATTCGAGGTGCAGTGTTTGGACCGAGAGGACGTTTTAGAGAGACAGAGATAGAACGTTAGAGTTAGGGTATTCCTGTAGTGACTGCATAGGTGATTTACAGTGTTATTTTATAATAGTATAGTCTTTTTTGCGCTGTATATTTAAATAGTATTGTGTTGTTTCACAATAAGTAAGTAGTGTCCATTTATTTCTGATCAGTTAGATGAATGCGTTGTGAGCTAATAGCTAACCTTGTCACGCTGACCCTGCGCTCAACAGAGGATCTGACATCTTGGTGAGCTCAGGTGACAAGGTACATAACGTCCCCAGCAGATGTATGGTTTGTGCACCTGGGATTGTCTGTGGTAACAGACTGTAGAGCAAGTGATTGTAAAGCTCGCTCGACCAGTGTTCTAGGTAACAGGTGGCTATATAGCGGAGAATAAACTGTCCGTTGTAATATCTGTACTTACATTAAAGATTGTCATGTGTGTTCTGTGTGCGTTCGGGTTCAGTGTGTGTCAAAGTTAGTTTGTCTGTCATAGGCCCAGCTAAGAGCCACGGACCATCAAGGTCACCCAAAGGTCTGTGACAGTCACACGAGAAGAGTTGAACTATGACACTAAGGTCCGAGATCTGTGGATAGACATGAAAGCTCATCTGGCAGTAAACATGGTGATATAGATTTGGCGATTCCCCGTGTGGGTTCCGGGGCCCCATTGTGGGGGAAAACAAGAATAGATCCACTGCCTTTCCAGCAAGCAGGTCGTAGGAATCGACTAACTGAGGACTTCCTTTTAAGTCAGAGTGCATGTGCCCGAGCGGCCAGGAACAATCAACTGCACACAAATAGGTCATTTAAATTGATGTACACGCAAAGCTCAGGTCCTGGCACAAAGCCAAATGGACGAACAACCATAACTTTCTGCCGGAGCTCACAGCCGGTGAACAAAGAATAGAAAAAAAAAAAAAATTTGGTGATTTCAGTGATTGTAGACAAGCGATTTCCTAATTTGTGAAAGTTATGAATTCTCAGACTGCAACTTTTTGTTCAAGAGCGTAATTTTTTTTAACCGAAATCCAAAGGGATTGTAAAGGTAGCTAGGGAGTGGGTGCTTTGTGCTATTGGCGTTCGACCAGTCGCGTTGCAAAGAGAGATTTGGCCATAGGAAATGTTCTTCTTTTTCGCGTTAACTGGCGGAAACTCGGAGTCAAGTTCTGGTTATTCATCCACATCTGGACTTTAGTCTTGTTTCAGAACCTGAGTGTTGCCTACACACCCCTTTACATATCTGACTTATTTGTATGCGAAATGTTGGCTCCTTGCCTCTCAGGCAGATAGACTCCTACCTCGAAGGACGCCACCAGTTAGTCAACTTCAACAGCATGCTTAGGCAGTGGGCCTTT